AGATGGTCCCTCCTGTATTTCCTGACAAGAGGTATAACCAACAAACATGTATAGATGGTCCCTCCTGTATTTACTGACAAGAGGTATAACCAACAAACATGTATAGATGGTCCCTCTTGTATTTACTGACTGGAGGTATAACCAACAAACATGTATAGATGATCCCTCTTGTATTTACTGACTGGAGATATAACCAACAAACATGTATAGATGGACCCTCCTGTATTTACTGACTGGAGGTATAACCAACAAACATGTATAGATGGTCCCTCCTGTATTTACTTAATGTAGATATAACCAACAAACATGTATAGATGGTTCTATGATGGGCAAAGTGTAGATAGCCCATTTTGTAGCTTTGTAATTGCCAATAAAGTGTTATCTTAGCTGTTACTATTTTTATTGTGTGCGTGCAACTCTTAGATTTAATGAAAGATCAAACTGTATGTTAAAGCTACTATTAAAAAATTGTCTTTTTGGTTTCAGGTTATGAGGAAGAACTTAAAAAGTTTACTCTCAAAAAGTTTTTACTCTTGGTTTACTTTCTTGACCAAGCAAAGCTTACTCGTCTCATTGACCATGACCCTTGCCTTTTCTGCAAAAATGCACCATTTAAGGTTTGATAGAATATTATATTTTGACTAATAAAACAGTTTTAATAATATAAAATTAATAATGATTATATAGCTCTTATGTCCCTGGATTATATTCTTGGTTGTTCCGTTTTCATGGATGTTTTTACTATGAATACTGAATGCCATTAGTCACTTGTATGTGAAAAATCACAAAAATAATTTCGACATTTAAGTTAATACAAGTTCCAGTCTAAATGTTTTTAAAGGAACTGGTCTAATACAAGTGTAAGAGTATCAGAATGAAGTGTTTAATAAGCCAGTCACATCTATATATGTAATGATAGCACTATCAGTTGGTTTAAATATTTAAAAGGTTACTTAACCCTTTCCAGACTGCAGAGCAGCTTTTGAGTGTTGAGCTCACAGCTGCATATAAAATTTCAGCAAAAATAACAATTCTGTTTCAAGAATCTTTAACTCAAAAAATATTTTAGAATTGATATTTTGGCTTTTTGTGACACTTAAGTAATGTTATTTACAAAGGAAAAAATACAAAATTTGTTGAAATTTTCATATCCGCTCTGTTCCAAGGAGCCATGCCTGTAAAAAAAATTCACTTTCCTTTTTTTTTTAATTTCCCTGTCCAACCATGAGCACAGGAGACTCAGCATGGCCAGGTGATTAGGGTGCTCAACTCGCAAATAAATAAACCAAACCATAAGCATAGGTTTATATTTGCTAAGAAGCTTTTATCTGTTAAGAATATAATTATTCTGTTTGTTTCTTACATGATTTTCCTTCTCTTTTACTTTTTTTTTACTTACTATCCTTTCATACCCATCCCCCCTTTTTTTCATCTTGAAGCATGCAACCTGAACAACTACTAAAGAAGCTCAGCTTTTAAAAAAAGCTACAGTTTAAATACCATTAGATATAGATGTTTATAAACTACTTACAGCAGTCTAGAGTGAATAAAGTGGTGTAAGAATTGATTTCTGATTTTGTGGAAGAGTAGCTAGACCAAGATCCTGCAAGATAAGAACAATGCAATTTGATGGGAAGTTATGAACAAATCATAGGTCTGGAATTTTCTATATAGTTTCTTTAGATATTCTTGAAAATGTTTTTATGTTTGAAAGCTACAGAAATTTGCTTCTAAGACGTCAGGTGAGTTTAGTTAGGTTTAGTAAGTGCGGATGATGACAAAAACCTTGTCGAAACGCTGTACATTTTGCTGTTATGTTAAACTTATATTAAAGTTTTTCTTCATTACCCATTCAAGCCATCTCCAAGCATTATTACTGATAAGTTTATTGTATTTAACTTATTATTTATTGAAAAGAGTATATTTGCTAAATATATAAAGGGATCACAAACAAGAATTTTCTTACCTAGATGGACCTGATGCCATTTTGATAGGTCAAATCCAAGGTCACCGATAAATCTGTTTTTATGGTATTTATTGAATTATACTTGGAAGTGGTGGCTACTGTAAGTAACAAAATAAAATATCAAAAGAAATGCCAAATTTTGTAAAGGCTAGAAAAAGTTAACAAAATTACATATGAATGTATTAGGCTGAAACTTCTTTGTACCAAGTTTCATGAAATTAGTATTTCCACCGAGAAGGAATACAATGATTGGATATCAGGGGCACCTCTTCGGTCTTGAAAGGGTTAAAGACTGTTAGAAAAACTTTCTTTTTTTATGATAAATATTTCCTTTCTGATGGCATGGCTACCCACAGTTATAAAACCTACTGTTAATAAAGGCCTAAAGGCAATTTATGAGAACATTCGTTGACTGATTTGACCTTAAAAATGTAGACTTGCCCTTTTTTTTGTGTAACCGTTATTCATTCCCAGTTGTTTTTTCTGTTAGTCAAGTCGAGATTTGCTTATCAGCTTTTCCCGAGATTATCTTAGTGGTGAAGGAGATGTTACACGCCACCTGAGACACTTAGGCTACACTGTTAGCCACCATCAAAGAGCTTTGGAAGAGTTTGATTTTGCTGTTACCAATTTGGCTGTCGATTTGAGATGCGGTCTTAGACTGGTGTAAGTTTTTTTAATACTGCCATTTAAGACTGTTAATATTTCCCAAAATATTAAACAAAAAAATTACATAATAGGGTATTTACTTAGTCTTGTTTGTTAAAATTACTTCTAACTAGACTTTTCTTCACTAGAAACTACTTAGTTGTTAAGTTTACAGTTTTTTTTGTTGTTGTTCTGTAACTGATAAACCAGAGCAGTTCTTTCATAGGTTTGGGAGAGTGTATTAGTTTTCATAATTTTGTTTTATCTCATTCTAATTAAACCGTGACAATGCTTTTGCCAGACGAGTGCTCGAACTCCTACTTCAGCAGTGGACCCTGTCTAATCAAGTGAGAGTTCCAGCAATCAGCAGGCTTCAGAAAATTTATAATGTTGGATTGGGGTTGCAAGCTCTCACCGATTCTGGGATGATTCTTGATGGTAAAATCAACTTCTTCTGTCCTTTTCTCTTAGGAGGAAGATGCTTTGTTAAACTAAAGCCTACTGCAGTGTTAAGATATTGAATTTTGTTTTGTTTGTTAACGTGTAATATAAAGATGAGATTTAAAATAAAAAACAGTCATACAAAATGCTCAGTTAACCCATTAACTGCGGCAGGAGCAGCTCAGTTGACTTGCCGTTTTCTGATTCACAGATAAAACTGAGTTGTCATCAATCACAATAAAACGGTAATTTTCGTCATTCGCATAGTTATAGTTATGTATGTGCGTATGACGAAAATATTCGTCGTCCACTGTTAATGGGTTAATTTGAATGTGATATTGGATCATAACATTATACTTTAAGTTACGGGATGTATTCTAATAATGAGCAGAATTATGAAATACTTTCGTGTGAGTGTATTCTAGAAAACATTGTTCGCACATGGCAGTTCTGCCAACAATGTTCTTGAACGTATGCACACTTTTGATTGGTTTATCAAAAATATATTGTTCTTTTTTTGCTAAGATATTTTATACTATAATGAACATCTTATTTCAAGTAGTACTGTTGAATTAACACGCATTATTTTTTAAGAATATAAATAGGACACAAAATATGATAAATGCTAAGACATATACCCGAGTGAAAATGTATAGTACTATTCTGGATATTGGTAATATTAGGTTTTTTCTGATTTCTTATGTGTATACATGGATTTCTGTTATGTATGTTATTGATATAATATCATTTTGGGTCTAAATACCTTAGAGAGCATCACTTCCCGAGATATCATAGATGGAAATAGAGAAAAAACGCTCTTACTATTGTGGCAGATCATTTTCAAAACACAGGTGGGTGAGATTTTTAGTTTATTTGTGTCGAAACAATTAGGCTTAAATTTGTTTAATCATGCAGTCACAGAGAAAAGCAAACTTGCTACATTTTTCAAATCCAGGAAATGTCAAGATATAGCGATTGTTTTTTTGATCTCAGTGTTATTTCTGTAATGCTATATGTATTAAAAATCCTGTGTTATTGTAAGTAAGCCTCATAAATATGGTGCTTAGGCCATAAAATGTACATAGAAATGAGGTACTTTGAATTGTTTAAAAGTGTCAGTGTGATTAACATAGAAATAGTGGGTTTACCTTTTAGCTCAGTTGGTATAGCACTTACTTCCCTGATCTTGGGATTAACCCAGACTTGAGGAAATGAAGAAAAGAGGTTACCACAGAAAAACTCATGCCTGACTTGAGGTTGTCCTAGAAAATCCAGGATGAGGCCCAGTGGTGGGCCTTGTTTGTTAAAGGGGAAGAATGAGGTACTTTGAGTCGTTAAATACGAGCAGTTGATAGTGGGTTAATTTTCTTAGCCCCGATGGTAGATCACTCCCCTGATTTCCAGAGTCTCTGAGTCGATACCGTTCACAGGTGGTACAAGAAAGAAATGAGCAGTTACTAACAAATATTCTGGGAAACAATTAAAATTTCTTTTAAATTTATTAGTAGATGTAACTAATACTTTTTTAAACCCATGTGGGCACTATTTAAGCTCTCTTGAGTATAGAATCAATCGGTACAAATCTTTCAATAAATTATTTTTCACTTGTTTAAAGGCAATTTTTTTATATTATGAGAATTGCAAATGGTCTATTGCAACAAGACATTGAAAAAAATCCCAAAATTTATCGGTAGTAAAATGCATATAAAGGTATTGAAATCCGTGACATAAATGTGACTGGAACAAATTCTATTCTTACTTAGTAACAGTTAAATTCTGTATAAGCAAAACAAAAAACTTCTGATAAATTTCCATCATTTTCTAAACTTCATACCACTAGCTGAAAATAAATTTAGTGGTATATTCTCAAAAAAAATTATAATTTTTCCAAAGGATCTAATATTTTGTACATCATAATAATCTTTTCATTTAAAGACTTTTGTAAATTTTACTTAATTGAACTTTAGTTCGTTTTTTTGTTTTTAATAGGTTGAGTGTTTGATCAAAAAAGAAAAAATGAGAGAAGAAATACTGTATCATCAGAAAAGCCTAAGCACGAGAAACCAGTTAGCTTTGGCTCGATTACAGAACCCATCGAAAGTTACTGAGAAAATAGCACAAACCAAAGATGATGATGAGAATGTTTTTAACATGGAAAATGAAAGCCTTGATTTCCTTTTGAAGTGGTGCCAAGCTGTCTGTACGCAGTACAATATTCCGGTACAATGCATTATTTGGAACACAGTTTAGAACTAGTTTTTATTGTTGTTGTTATCTGTTATATTCAAGATGCTGTAACATTTTCATATGAATTTGTAATTAGAATGTTGTATTTATTGTCATAAATAATAAAAAACAAAAACATTATGCATAAGAACTAAAACCTCTTACAAACTATTACTATTCTACAAACTAGTCCAAATTTTTTTTTATCTCTTACATTCTTTGTTCTTCCTAAGTACATTAGCCTTCTCTTCTTATTCTGACTTCCAGTAGTTTCACCTTTTAGTTTGTCTAAAGTCTTTTGTGATCTAGAACTTAGTTACAAAGCATTGAAAGTCCTTTTCTGATGTTTCGGTAAAGCGAGGACGAGTGGACCAAATAGCAAATAAGTTAGCGTGGTTATTCTGTAATATCTAACAGATTTGGTCCAGAGAAGAACAGAGGCTCAGTGGCAAGCTTTCAGGCTTATACTACTAAAAATTAGATTTTGATACCCACACAGTGGACACAGCAATGATAGTTATTGTGCATTTAACAACAAACAAGCATAAAAAAACATTTTAAAGCACTCCTGGGTGAGATTTAAATTTTCCTTTAAGAGCTCAGGTGTAAAAAAATAGTACCTCAGTTGACTTTACTTTTAGTGTAGACCTCATTTTTGAAAATCTGTCCTACTTTCTCTGAATCTCAGGTGGAGAACTTTACGGTATCATTCAGCGATGGAAGAGCCTTGTGCTACCTGATACATCATTACCATCCTAATGTACTGCAGGAAAAAGACATCCGTCAGGAAACATCGCAGAGTATACTGCAGGTTCAGGAGGGACAGGACAGCACTACTTTAGAAGATAGCTTTGATGAGAATTGGACATTTTCAATGGGGGCTGGTGAGTTACGATGAATGGTTCCGAAGTAAAGTGTATCATGAACTCATTTTCACTGGACTTTAATCAACTTTTTGAAAGTTTCAATCCTTCAATATTTGAAGAAATCTAAGTTTGGTATCAAATTGTAGATTATAATTATAATTTTAGTATTATACATTAGTTAATTTGTGAATTTAAAAGCAAATATAAAAAAAAAAACGCCTAAATATATCGATTTTAGTGTGTCACGTGGTATGTTGAAAACAGCACTTGTTCAAATTAGAAGTTTGTGACATCCAAATACAAATTCTATAGTTTCTTACGAATTAGATACTCAAATGACCAATACTGATAAGCTAGAATATAAAATAATAAATTCTATTTTCTGAGATATTAATATATTTATTGAATCAACCAAGGTGGCTCTGCCCACCTCTTCAATTGAATGACATGTGTATAACCAATCAAAAGCTCAGAATGTTCCCATAGTGGCTTTCTCAGCCTCTTTGAAATATTTGGGTGGCAAACTCATTTTTTGTGCTTGATTCCAATGGTAAGGTAAGACGTTAGTGAGATTGAAATTTAATATTTTTTAAGACCCAAATACAGCTTAGTTACTGAGCTTGATAAATTATAGTTTTTGTGTGGATTATTCTATTTAGGAATGACAACAGAAATTAATTACTTTTAACCATTTGTTTAACTCTCTCAGTACGGACCGACAACCTTGTAACCATTTTGTGCTTGTTATAGTTTTTATGCTATAACTTTTAAATTAGTAAGTGCATGTTCACGAAATTTGTGGATTATCATTAAACATTACAAGGCTTTCGTACACAAAATATCAGATATTCTTTTGTGTTAAGTTTTAAGTAATGTTTTTTTTTGTGTCTTTTTTTTTATTTTCGAATGTTGCCTATCCAACATACAAAGTAATTTTGATTTTAAGATAAAAAAAAATACTTTCATGCATCAGAAAATTTTCAAATTTCACATGCGAAATCTTTAACTTCCTGATAATTATCAAACATTTTTAACGAAAAACTTATTATTTTTCCCTATCAAATCTCTGTACCAATTCGGAAGATTTGACCGATCTTGTAACTACCATAAAAGATTAAGAAATAAATATAAGTTATGTTTTTTTCATTCTATAATGACTACAAATTATAACTCAAACACAAATGTTTAGTCTAAATGGCTTAAATCTCATAAAATTATACATTTATTATTTTCATTATATTAACCTTTCAGCCGTACCTGGCTAACATTAATCAAACAGAAGTTACAATGACGAGGCGCACGTACACTTATGTTACCATATCCGATAATGTAAAACTAGCCTTTACAAAATGACCTGTCTTGGCTGTGTTTTAGTTGACTAGTATTTTGTAAAATACAGTCACATTTCAATTATTATAC